AGGGGAAATGGCCACGCCACTATCCCTACTCCTTCATTCTTCTCTCGGGATCTTGGGCATGTACGCACATACAACCGGGTTGAGTTTAAGCTGCCAGATCCAGGACTCGAATCGTGGCTGACTACATGGAAGTCCAGTGATGTAACCATTATGCCATCTACTGGCCCCTGTACTTCTGTGTTTCTAATCAAGATGTGCATACTGTCTGTGTCCTTTTCATCATCTCATATTTTCCCATATGACTAAGTAGTATTTCATAATTCTTAAAAATCTATGCAGACAGGTATGTTATATTAAATTTTTGTTATGCCAGTGAGTGCAACCTCATTAAAAAGAGAGAGGAAGAAAGAGAGAGAGAAAAATTACCACCTAGGGCCTGGTCACGTTGCAATCCTGTTTCCTTCATGTCTCTATCCCATGAAGATCTGAATATGTGTGCTCACACATATCCAGTGTGTTGTCACCAGGGATGGGACTTGAACCATGAGTAGCCACATAGGTCTGGCTCCCTGTGCACAGCCCTTAACCACTCTACTATGGGACTGACCTGGGATATTTTCAGTTGTGCATTATGACCACTGAATAATCAATTCCTTCACTAATTGTATTAATAGGAAATGTAGTGCACATAACTTTTCTACCACAGATTATGTTTCCTGGAGATGGCTACAGCAATGTAGTCCCCTTCCACCTGCTTTTCTTTTCTTTTCCTTCTTTTGGGAGAGGTTTTTGCTATAGGGTACGTGTGCTCGCTGGAAAGACAGAGAGAGACAGAGAGACAGAAAACGAGAAATCACCCCCTAGGGAGGATGGCCACACTACAATCACTTCTCTTCCATTCTCCTCTTGGGATCTTAGGCACGCATGCACACGCGCCTGGCATGAGTTTAAGCCACCAGGTCCAGGACTCGAACCGCGGTCGACTACATGGGAGTCCAGCGACATAGCCATTACACCAACTGCTGGTCCCCCATCTGCTTTTCTTGCAATAGATGGTGTTATCCTTCTATTGAGTGGCAGGAAGCTACATTTCCTCCCTTGAACTTGGGCAAATATCTGTAACTGTTTTGTCTAGCGGAATGCAATAGAAGTGAGTCTGCCATAGAAGACAATATGGCTTCCACCTACTTCTTTTTCTTCCTCTCTCCACTTGCCTTTGAAGCTGAGGAAGCTCAGATGAGGTGGAGAGGCCACGTGTACGGGTTCCAGTGACACCCTCAGTTAGGTTCCAACTTTCAGCCAGCATCAACTACTGGACATGTGAATAAATATGCCTCCAGATAAGAGCTATCCAGAGACCGTTCCTGGTCTGTACTCTCCAGTGTAGTAACTTACCTGCACATGAGGCTATGGAGCAATAACACAGCCAATGAGAATGAGAAAGGGAACTTTTCATTTTATTTAACTTTAAACTCTTTTTTTTTCTTAAGAGAGGTTTTTTGCTATAGGGCTCATGTACTTGCTGGAGAGACAGAGAGACAGACAGGCAGAAAGTAAGAATTCACCCTCTAGGGGGGATGACTCTTCTTCTCCATTCTCCTATTGAGTTTTTGGGATGCACGCACATGTAACTGGTGTGAGGACTTTTTGTTTTTGTTTTAATATTTATTTATTTTACTTAATTTCATTTGTTACTATTATTTTTAATTTCTACCTGAGAGAGAGAAAAGGAAAGCAAGAAAGCAAGGTGCCCGGTCAGCCATGTGGGAATCCAGCACCTTTAACCACCAGACCCCCTGCCAGCCCCAACACCCAGTGTAAGTTTTAAGTTGCAGGGGCCAGGACTGGAACCACGATGGACTACGTGGGATTCTAGTGATGTAACCAATACACCCATCTGCTGGTCCCAATTTTAGTTAAATTCTTTTAAGGCTTTTGATATAGGGCATGTGTGCTTGCTGGAAAGAGACAGAGAGAGGGAAAGTGAGAAGTCAGCTCCCTTGGGGGGATGGCCATGTCACAATTCCTTTTCCTCCATTCTCTTCTTTAGATTTTGGGCACACGTGCGTGCATGCATGCGCACAAGCACACACACACCCACCCCAGCATGATTCTCAAGTCACTGGGTCCAAGACTTGAACCACAGTTGGCCATGTTGGAGTCCATCATCATAACCACCATGCCACCTGCTGACCCAAGCTAATTTAAATTCTAATAATCACGGGCGGATAAAGGCTGCCACACTGGGCAGTTTAACTTCACCTGGCTGCAGCTGCAGCTTTTGAGTCGTGAAACTGAAGCACCAAGCCCTATGGAGTGGAGCAAAGCACCCTGGTGTGCCTTCCCTGCGTCCCTAATTCTGATAAACCACGAGAGATGATTAAAAAAAAAAAAAAACTGATTTAAGCTAGTTTGGAAGTGATTCGTTATAAGGCAATCAAAAACGAATGCACATTTTTCTCTGGTCGTTACAGTTCTTCACAAAAAGTGAAAATGCACAAGTCTCTTCCATCTTCTAGAAGCCCTCTAGTTATGGTTACGCATCTCTTACTTTCACAGCAGGCTTCTCGAGCAGTCTTCTACACTCACCTTCCCCACTCACATCCTTCTCACTTCTGAACGCCCACTAGCCTCTAGACACCGATGAGGTCACACTGACATTTACTTCCATTTCAGGAAATGTGGGACTTCAGCACCCTACCCTGTCTTCAGAATTTCCCCTACTTTTTCTAAGGAAAACCTGCCCTGGCATAAAAGCCATCCCCTCTTAGTTGAAAAACTGCAAAAACAAAAACAAACACCTTTTCTGAGTGATCCAGAAAAAAAAAAAATACCTTTTTAGGGAGAGGCACCCCTGTCTAAGGGCCAATGCAGTCGTCAGCCAGTGTCCCAGTCTGCACAAGTGGCCTGCAGGCTGCCCTTGGCCGGGTGTGCTCGGTCTGCACGTCCGCGCCGTCTCACGTGGTGGCTCCAGCTCTCTGCAGCGTTCTCCATAAAACGCAGAGAGCGCCAGGTGGCCCGGGCCGCGGGGCACTGTGGCTGCCGGGAAATCGGCTCTTTCTGCTGATGTCTTTCTCTTCTCTGAGCAGGATTCAGAAGCAGCCAGGGGTGTGATATGGTTTGGAAACTAGTTTGTCCCCCAGAGTTTCAGGTTTTGGAATTTGGTGTGATGAGGCCTAGTGGGCAGTGAGTCAGTCATGGAGATAGCACTCTCATGAGTAGATTAATGATGTCTCGCGAGACCCAGGGCGTTGTAGCTCTCAGGGGACAGGTTACTTTTCGGGAGAGCTGGTTGCCAGAAAGAGCTGCTTGCACCTCACTCGCTCTGCACGCCATCCTGTCTGCTCCTGTCGACCACAGGTAGGCCAGCCCAATGTCAGCCTTACACTTTCAGACTTTCCAGCCGCCAAAGTGGAGCGTGAATACACCGTTCTTTTTAAATCTCCCAGGCTCAGGTATTTCTGTTACCAATGGCATAACGGACTAAGGATACAATCAGGGCCAAGAAACAGTGCAGCCCTGTCTGAATATAACTTTCTCTGCACACCTCCCCACATGGGTGTGCAAACACTCCTGCAATTCCTTGCTTACTTTCCTGAACCTAGCTTGTCCATCGGGCCCCAAGCATCCTCCTAGGATCCAAAGGAACTTCATGGTGGCAAAGTAAAATCCCCAGTTGCTATGTTTGCCCAAGTCAGCCAGGCATCTGTGTAGAGGGCAGGGTCTGTGGTTTCAATATCCTTCAAGGGATTACCTCTGTTACAAGGGGAGGAAACGTTTCCATGATACTAGGTCTTGAAAGTGGGATAGGTTACTTCTTGTCTCTATTGGGAAAACACGAGTTTATCCCATTGGACTCTAAGCAAATGCCTGAATGTGCTCTTTAAGGCTGTTTTCAGTCTCAGATGACCTGAGACATGGTATGACCTGTTATATGTAAAGATTAAACAAGATACAGGGGGTGTTGACCAACTGCAGTTCCACTTGGGATATATAGTTGAACTTGGGTAGATTCCAGTCCATTTAGAAGAACCAATTGATAACACGGGGTTCTAATCAGTTTAGAAAAATCCCAAAATATTACTAATTATGTTGATTATAACTGAATCTAAATTTTCCATTGAAGCACACACACACACATACACACACTCCTGACTTTTCTTTTTTTTCCTCTCCTTACTAATCATCTTTGGAAGATTAATTTAATAAATATACTTGTTGTTAACCAGGTAATAAAACTTGGACATTTTTAGTTTAGGGTGAATAAAATCAGTGGTACTAAAGAGACGAGAGCTTTATAAGAAGAAAGAAAATTCTATTTTTCCCAGGATGACATTCTTGGATATCACTGTCAAAATATTATCCAATCTGAAAAAATTGCAGGAATGATTAAACTTCTTGTGTATTTAGTGAATTTTTCCTTCTCAGCATTAACTCTACAAATCCTCAACATCCTGTAAAATAGATCAATTTCCTTTCTAATTTAAATAAACAGAGTCATTAAAAAGATACCGATGCTTATTAAAATTCCACATTTTAAAGAAAACATTTTAATACTCTATACATTATGAACCACTTTATATTTAAAGTTAAAACATGTGCCTGAATTTTTCTAGGCCTTTTGAGCTAAATGTGGCATAGTGGAGAATTCGGTTCAGAACATGAATTTCGACATTTCAGGAAATCAGCCAGTTACATAGGTATGAAATCTATTCCGTGGGTACCTGTTCCTCTACGGAGGAACAAAGCTGGAAGGGATTCCCTTTGCTGATTTTCCTCTTGGGACGTCTGGGTGTGGTTTGTTTTTGTCTCTAACAAAGATATGCAAGGAAATCATCTTTTACAACTAAAATTCCTTGACCTTACAAACAAGCCAAAGGAGGGAGGAAAAAAGTAGTAGGTCTAGAATGGCTTCATGATTTGCTTATACTAGTGCACCTGGTGGATTTAATCCAGGGTAGGTATGTGCAGTAGGATACGCAAGCTGCTGGTCCCTATACATTTTAATGGCTGAAAGTATATAACAAATAGGAAGGTGGAAGAAAGACCGTAAGCAGTTATGAAATATACAGGTTTTCTTATTCTTTATTGGTTTAGAGGAAGCCAGACCTTAATCACAATACGCCACATGCTGTTCGGAACCAAACAAAGGCTGCTTAGTTATTTGTTTTGCAATTGCTTCTTTTAGGAAGTGAGGAGAGAAAAAAAACGCTCTACTGGCACTCCAGTTTATTTTTAATGAAAATGTCTCTTACAATGGTGGAAATATAAGAAAAATGTTCAGGAAAAACTTTCTTCAGTATGCTTATTTCCTACAGAGCCTTGATTGTGCGATGAAGTCTTTAAAGGACACTTAAAACGGTAATGCAGCCTCTGTATTCCTGTGCAGGACAGCTAAGATATCTTGTCCTCCGATGCAAATCAGGAGGAAAACGTACACTTGTTTAGTTTGGAGCCCAGAAAACACTCTCCCTTCCATTCTGCCATGTGCTCGTGTCCCACATCAATAAAAGGATGCCGCTCAGAAACCAGGGCCTTGCTGCCATTGTGCTCTTCCTAATTAAAATTCAGAGTATTCAGCACAGTTGAGTACACCCAGGCATATGTGACATACCATCCTCACATACCAGAAGCTCAGATCAAGAGCGCCACGCAGGGCTCATTTCATAACCTCATTAAGATCCATTATCCAGCACGCTTCAGAAAGACTTTGTCAAAGCAGATAATGATGGCCTGTCAGAAGGTTGCAAACAGAAATGTATATTCAAATGTCCTTTCCCTCCTCCTTTTAGTATGGGAACTTAGTTCATATTCCCAGTGTGTGGACCCAGGGCTTATGCAAACAGGCTTCCAGGTGCTTGATGTTGTCAGATAGTTACCAAAGTAGAGTCAGGAAAAAAAATGAAGTGGAAAATATTTGAGTAACTAGGTGGGAGTATTCCTGGGAATGGTAATCAAACACGACTGTATCAACACCAAAGGAAGTGCAGCTCAGGAGTGCAAAGGTGGGTAGAACTCCTGGGTCACGAGGTGGAGTGTTTACTTTGGAATAAGTCAAATAGAAGGTTTGCTTTCCTTTCCTTAAGAACCTGTGGTACTCTGTAGTATAACCTCAGAAAAGGAAGCGCTCTCAATAAGACTTTTTTCCTTCTACATCCTGCTGAGTGAAGATGCCCAAGGAGACAAACTTTACGGCTGGCTTCCTGAGGGTAGCCTTTAAGTGTGATGTTAGCTGGGAACTTGGGAAGAATTGACTTCTTTAGACTCGGTATTTTTCTTTACCATGTTCATTGATCACGCAAATGTGCTGAAACAATAAGAGTTTAAGTGTATCAATTTCTTAACAAAATATAAGACATGCAAAATGCGAAGCAACAATAACAGAACGCCAAACTGTAATTTGCTGTTGCTCTTTTAAATAGATATGTGTCTGGGCTGACCCCATAGGCTAATGGTTAAGGCAACTGGCTCCTACATGGTCAACTGTGATTCAAGTCCTGGCCCCTATGGCTTGAAAAACACACTAGAGATGCGTGCCCCAAATCCCAACATGGATGGAGAAATGGAGAAGAGATTGCAGTGTGACCATGCCCCATTGAAGGGTGCTTCTCCCTCTCCTTTCCTCTTTCTGTCTCTGGTGAGCTCATGTGCCTGCCTGCAGAAGAAAGAAAGAAAGAAAGAAAGAAAGAGAGAGAGAGAGAGAGAGAGAGAGAGAGAGAGAGAGAAAGGAAAGGCAAAGAAAGGCAAGGAAAGGCAGTAAGGCAGAAAAAGGAAGAAAGGAAGGAGGAAGGAAGAAAGGAGGAAGGAGGGAAGGAAGGAGAAGGAAGGAGAGAGAGAAAAGAAGAAAGGAAGGAAAGGGGAGAAGTTGGGAAGGGGGAAGGGGAGAAAGGAAGAAAGGAAAGAAAAAGAAGAAAGGAAAGAAGGAAAAAAAGAAAAAGAAAGAAATCAATTGTGTGTGTGTGTCTATGTAAAATGTAAAGAAACCCCTTCAAATGCTTAACAAAAGTTTCCTCCCATTTTGCTTTTAATCCTTATTCTGCATCTGACTCCCTAGGTCCCTAACACTGCTGAGGGAACAGGATGGTTAGCTCTGTTAGAAATAGGATTCTCCTACAGGTGAAGTGCTCAGGTGAATGGAGAAGTAACAGTGGGAAACACAACATGGACCCTTTTAGGCTAGCAGGAAATGCACTAGAGGAGTATTTTGATTGTAAGCAGTAGAAATGAAGCCTGGCTAATATAAGTGGAAAGGGGGGATTTATTGCACGCATCCTGGAGTAACTCACAGAATCCAAGGAAGAACTGAGGAATGAAGCAGCTTGAAGGTAGGAGTGGGGTAGCTCCAGAGACTCCAGGCTACCGTGCTGGGGATGCTTTCTAGGGCATTGCTACAGCAATGATTTAGAGGTCCAAAAAGCCTTTGTCTCTGACTTGCAGTTTAAGTTTCTAAGTTTCTGAGTGGGACACTGATTGGTCTACCTTGGGTAAGATGTCTACCTCCAGATCATTCAGTGTTGGTCAAGGTCACACAGCTAGGGGTCCCAACTGGGAGTCCCTGTCTGTGGGTTGAGACCATTTCCCCTAAAGGGAGGAAGCGTTATGGGCTGCATGCCACTGTAACTGGAACCTACTAAATTTCAAGAACTGCCACAAAACCGTTCACAGTATATGGGCTATTAGTATGGATGGAGGGCATGGTCAATAACATGGAGAAAAATCCGTGTCAAGCCATAGTTCTGCTTTTCACTTTCTATTTGTTCAGTACAATATAGAGATGATCATCATTTGTTTCTATCTTTTCAAAATTTTTATTTATTTATTTGTTTTCTAGGAGTGTGTGTGCTCACTGGAGAGAGATAGAAAGAGAGGGAAAAAAATGAAAAATCACCCCCTGGGGGGATGGTCATACTGCAATCCTTTCTCTATTCTCTTCTCAGGATTTTTGGCCATGCACATGCACCTGCTGTGTTTTTCAAGCTGCTGGGTCCAGGTATGGAACCAGGCAGTCAGCCATGTGGGATCCAGCCACCTTCACCTCCACGCCACCTTTGGGCCTGCTTCTGTCATCTTAACACCTACCTTGCGGGTGGTGGTGGAAATTAACTGGGAGTACGAATACAAAATGCCAGCATATTCCTGACACAGAAGCTACCAGTAAGTAGCAGTCCTCATGAACTCAGTATGTCCCTAAGTTCTTAGGAAATGGGGGCTAAAGATTTGCGTACAAAACTTACATTCAGATCTCTGAAGTATTCATTGTAATCTAAGGCATAGCCCACCACAAATAAGTTTGGAATCTCAAATCCAGCATCTTAGAAGAGAGAGAGAAAAAACAAAAAACAAAAAACAAATTAACTTACAGAGGTTGTATAAAGCCACCATATGGTATTATTAATACTCACTGCGAGGACCTTTTATTTAAGCAGGAATAACTGAGAAAAATGGTGTGCAATACACAGGTGAGATCAAGGTGGACCTGGGCCTGGGTGACTACTCAGGGAAACAAGGCTATCAGGCGAACAGAACATGAAGAATGACTGAACTCCTCATATACGGAGTTGAGAAAGGGCTGAGGAAGCTCAGTGCACAACAAGAAGCGTGGATGGGTCGGTCACGTGGCCCTGCTGTTCCAAAGCAAGCAGTAGGCGATGACAGAATGCCAGAGGAAACACTGAAAAGCATGAAGTGCATTCAGACACAAGGCACGACAACAGCGCGATACGTGAATGGTGCACAGGCCGTGGCAACTAGGAAGCACTTCTCCCACCGTGCTCCTGTCCTCGGCTGGTTAAAGGGCTGGAAAGCAAAACCTGGGAGACAAAATAAAAAGACACAGGATTGTTAGAGGACAAGACTTCTCAGGGTTATTTTAATGCTGATCTTGGAGTCCACAATCCCAAGGATATTAATTAGCTCTTTATCTCAATTGAGGGCAGCACAGAGGAAATGGATTGTGCACATGAGGTACTTAGGTTAAGCAAAAGAAGTTACTGAAAGGAAGATGATTTTTATTGGAGGGGATCCTCTAGGAACAGACAATAGCTCTCTGAGAGGTCTTAAAACAGAATAAATGTCCCTGATCGGGTGATTTTCAAACTTTTCCCAAGGTTTTAGAATCTTAAACATTGATTATAGTATTACCGGTGAGACGTGTACTTGCTTACTTTTCTAAAAACATCCTAGGTACAACCAGTGGGCTAAGAGCACAGACTAAATTATCTCCATGGTGGCTACTGCCACCATTTCGATCCCTAAAATCAAAGATTTTTCACATGGATAAACAAAATCCTTCCTGTTCACAGAGAGCGCTAGAGATGAGGGACTTAATTTTCTCGCGGAGTGCATGATGAGGTTGCTTGTTATGAAGCCTGTTTAATCCTTCCAAATTGCTGAGAGGAGCAAGAGACGGAAAGATGGCAGAAGCTGCACTGGCCAGATAAGAAGGAGTTACTACAGTTGAGAAAGGACTAAAAGGTCCAGAGCCTTCGATAGCCAGTGAGAAGTAAGAAACAGAGACTCTGAGCTAGTCAAAAGAAGATGAGCAGATCCCAGAAAACCCACAGTCATCGTGACTTTTCAATGAGCAATGCAATCCATACAAATGTCACAGCCCAGACTGGAAAAATGAGAGCTCAAGACTGGTTTGGAAGGCCAGACCTTGAATAAAAGGATGAAGGATTAGTGGCACAGTCAGTAGTTGGGATGACCTATCAGTAGCTGGTAAACAAGTGTGGCTCCTACCCTCCTACATTTGCGGTTGCAGGGGGGCAGTGCAGGAGTTAAAGCAGGACTGGAACCAGATTGTCTGGGTTCAGTACTGGCCCTGAACTGACAGCCAAGTGATCGTGGCAAGCTGTTCAATCTCACTGACTTCCTCATCTGTAAATTACATAGAACAAGAGCGCCTGCCTTTAGAGAGCCGTCCTAAGGATGAAATGGGTTCTCTGGATAGATCCTAGAATAGTGCCTGACCACTTACCAGTGTTAATTGGTATTATCTCTTAATGTTATAAGAAGTTTGTAATTGACTATGTTTGAAGTGAATGTGTTTCAACTTCAGCTAATATCTTATCTAAGCAGTAAGTATCTTGTACTATTTCCTTAGAAAATTGCTGTTCAGTGACCTCATGCAACCTTAACTACATCCAGATTATGTTCCCAACGCTGGTACCAACAGGAACACACTATTGGGTCTATCTGCCCAGAACTGACACGGTCTAGAGTCGCTGGTTCAGCGCAGGAATGAGACTTGTTTTTAGAGCAGAGCCACTGGCTAAGTGTCATTGGCACATTACCCATCCATACTGTGCTTCTCTTTCACTAATGTTTGTTCAGCTTGCTGATGAGAATTGTGGCCAAATTATCCCAAGGGCTTTAGAGCAAATGTAAGTTATAAAAATCAAGCTGAAGTGTGCCTATGCAAGTGAAAAAAAAAAAAAAAAGCCTGTAGTGTTAGACTATTAAATAATCAGACCGTTTGTTTATCCTTTCTGGCATTAGAACTAATCCTATCCTGGAGAGGAGGGAGGAAAGCTCACAGTTGAGGAAAATCCTCCAGAACACGTGTCTGAAGTCAAGTGTGAAGATGGCATCTCGAGATACCTGCTCTGCTAATTCTCTGTTACTGAACTTTTGTTTGGAGGTGGTGGGTTTCCCCTTCTGTGTGCTAAAATTCAGGCTTACTAAAGATCACCGTTGTGCATTGTCTGGTAACATTTCCTGAAGGTGGTGCGAGAATCTCTCTCAAGTTTCACCAAGCTTCTCTGGGTCTGATTCGTGGGAATGCAGCCTGGCCAGGACCCTGTGCATCGGAATCAGCCCAGTGGGGTCAAGTCTTCCTCTAGCCTCTGAAACTTGTGAGCTGAATTCTTTGGATTTAAGATGTAATGGAAAACCTAAAAAAGAAAACTATCTAAGCCATAAAACAGAGTTGAAAGACATGTGTTAGAAAATGTAAGACTTTCATGTTCAGGGATGGCCCCATGGCTTGGTGGTTGAGGGAGCCAGATCTCACATGGCCAACTGTGTGGTTCGAAACCAGTTCTGGCAGCTTGGAAAAAAACACATCTGGTGCATGCCAAGATTCTAGTGGCATGGAGAGAGAGAGAAGAGACTGTGATGTGCCAATGCCCCTGGGGGGTGGTTCTCGTTTTCCTCTCTGTCTCTCTCTGACAAATATTTTAAAAAGTGCTAATTAAAAACAAAACAAAACAAAACAAAAAGCAAACAAACAACAAAACTCCTCAATCTTCCCTAGCAAAGCAGGAGAGACCTCGAGGAATATTTGGGATATTATCAGCTCTACATGGCTTTCACTTCACACAAAATATGCCATCTAGTAGGAAACCAAAGACTGTTAAGCACAAGACAAGATACCATGACCAAAAAACAAAATAACACTTACAGTCAGGTCTAAAGCCATCACTTCTAGGTGTTCTCTTCACCAACAAACTACAATTTTAAAAAGAATGTGTTAGTGACCCCAATCTCATCAATTGCAAATAGAATTAAATACCCTTAAAATATGTATTTAAAATACTTCATTTTCCCCCCTCGAGTCTGTGGGACAACCCCTTAAACGATTATTTTAAAAATTTTTTTTAAAGTTTATTTAGGGTTGGTCCCATGTCCTAGTGGTTTAGGAAGCCAGATTCTCTATGGCTGACACGGTTTGAGTCATGGCCCAGTGGCTTGGAAAATACAATGAGTGCATGGACAGGATGGAAAGATGGAGGAGAAGGGATTGCTCTGTGATCATGGCCTACAAAGGGGTGCTTTCTCGCTTTTCTCTGTTTCTCTTGTGAGCACATGCATGTTCAGGCATCTAAAAAAAAGTTTATTTCATTATTTTATTCATGATAGAGAGTACATGTGCATGCACTAAAGGACAAGAGGGAAAAGCACTTCAACAGGGTCTTGTCATGCATGATCTCGTTTCCATGGCCCCTTTAGCTAATCGAGATTTGGGCACATGTGCACACACTCAGTGTGTTTTCAAGTCAACCTGGGGATTCCAACCCACAGCCAGGCATGTGGTCTCCAGCACTGAAGTTGTGTTTGCTATCAACTGAACCACCAGACTGGGCCATAGCCCTGTTTTAATTCATGCTCTTGCTACTGTGGCCCTATGTGGATGATTCTGGGTGGGAGCAGGGTAATTGCACTAGGGTCATTCAGCTTCTGGAAACAGTTAATGCAGGCAGAGCAAAGAGGGACTCAGAAACAGGCCAAAGCATGTTCTCTGCCTTCCCTTTCCTGTCTTAGACTATGAGTCAAAGGGGCTATTTCTTTTAGTGTGGTCAAACTGTAAGGGCCACTGGATTAGAAGAGATTATACTTGTAGAAAGAGCATCCTGTGTTAGCATCGTTTTGGAGTTTGTTTGAAAAAACAGAAATCAGCATGATGTGAATGTCCTACTCACCTGGCCACTTTCACCATGTTGGGCTTGTATTTCTCTATGCTGCTGAGCAGTGCTTTCATGGTCCTCCCAGTTCCAACGACATCCTTTGCAAAGAGGACAGACAAATTCAACAAAATGCATTTGGGTGTGTAATACATTTTTCATCCAAGAGCTATTCTTTATTAATAATGCATTGCAATTAGAAATGCCATCTGACTAGCATCGACATGACAGGAAGACTTAGTTATGTTTTTAGACAGGCACTTCTTTCTGGAAGTTGGGGTTTAAGGGAATATATTGTGAATATTTCCTCCATGCATCCTTGCATGGAAAGCTAAATTTGGCCTTCGGAGAGCATGTGGGGCAGCTCACTGAGTAAATTTGGACTCGTGCATGCACATTCAAGGACTAAATTTGGCCCTGAGGTTATGTAACACAATACAAGACGCATGAATTTTCATGGACATGGGATGTACATCTGAATACACTGAATGGATAAACACCTCCCCCTCGTCCACCCCGCTCAATAGGGGATTCTATGGCTGGGAAGTGAGATGCGTCTGGACAGCAGCTGGTGACAGCCTGTGAATTCTGAGGGTCCGTGGCTGTAGTGAGCTCAGGCTCATCTCTGCTGATGAGTTGCTGCACAATGAGAGGAGAATAGGCAGCAGCGATTTATTGTCCTTGGGACAGAAATCAGCTGTCGGGAGCTGATTATCAAAACAACAGGTCTGAATTTAGCCAGGGTGAGGCAATTCGTTTGGCTAGAGGGTCCACTTCATGGGTTATGTGGAGCCAGAAGAACCGCACGTACATATGGCACACACAGGCGGTTGTGTAACAAAAGCCTGAAAACAGCTCCTCTGAATTTTTGCCAGCTGATAAGAAGGCGTGCTCCTGAACAAAACGTGGCCTATTGCTGTACTGGTCTACGGCTGCCACAGGGCTTGCTCTCTCCCCTTCCTTCCTTCATGCTTTTTAAACAGAAACATACACTTTTAAAATACAGCTTTCCTTTACATTCCATTTTAAAAAATTGGGTATATTTATGTTTTTGATGCTGAAGGTATCTGAGAATCGTCTGAAGTCATTAGAGGTTATTAGCAAAAACATTGCAAGAAGGGCAAAGAGGTCTCTACCCTAGGTTTTATTACTAAATAAGTTTGATTCTGTGGACCAATTTCCTCTCTCTAAAAATGATCTATTCATAAAGGAGTTGTAAGGACCCATTTAGACTATGTGAAATTGGATATAAAAATGGATATAAAGTACCACACACGTATCGTTGCAAAGCTTTTGTTCTAAGTTCTGTGAGGACAGTGATTCTCATTGTCCCCTACTCAATAATATTTGGAGAGCTTTGCACACGGTGGGAACGCAATGTATCCTTGGCCAATCTGATAGCAAGTTCTACATTTTAAAACTCACCATTAGAATTTTGCACCTGCCAAATATAGAAAAGAAGTCATCTTACCTCAACGATGAGAACATTCTGAAATAAACAAAACCCATGCTTTAGAATATGATGCCAACTAGCTCACAAGGTAAGTACACATTTGCTTACAGTTAGAATTTCATACTCTGCTTAGCTCGTTCTTCCCCATCCATCTAATAATTGAGATGATTGGAGATCATCTAGGTATTCCAGATCCATTTAACAGTCCCTCTGGAATTACCGGGTGTCACAATATTGGTATCTACACTCAGATTAGGATCAGGTTTGTTTTAGACCTGTTACCTGTCATCTATCTCAAAAATTCTGCAAGCTCCTCTGTCCAGCACTCCCTTGGGCTGTAATGCTTACTAAGACTTTACCAGGAAAACAGGCCAGCATCAAATGCATCACTAATGGGAACAGTCTCTGCAGATGGATTTCATATTCAGCTGCAACACCCCTATTCCTGTGTAGCCCACCGTAAGCCCTAGAGATTCAGTATTTACTCTTGGGTGGCCAACCCTGAGGAAGGGGTTGGGCTAGAGAGTTGCCTGGTGTACATTTTTAGTGAAATAGTTGAGTCTTTTAGTACCTGCTCTCAAGGTATCCCTCCATTTCTCCCCCTAAGAAGACTGATAAGTTTCCTTTTAATTTCTTGTTTGATATCTGTCTTGCCCACTAGACTCTAACTCCATCATGCTTAGCTAGTTACTTCTATAGCTCTAGATTCTGGCGTAATGCTTGCATGTAAATGCTCAAGAATTATTTGTTAAATGATGGAAAAATAACCAATTAAATTTATTGAGTGAAAATCAACCAATTAACTGGATTAGTAATATGTCAATGCTGTCCTGCCAAATTAAAATATGATGGTTTTAGGGCCTGCAGGTGGTGTAGTGGTTAAGGCACTGGACTCCCACATGACTGACCATAGTTCAAGTCCTGGTGGAAACTCATGCCAGGCATGTGTGGGTGTGTGTGCCCAAAATCCTGAGAGGAGAATGAAGGAGAAAGAATTGCAGCATGGCCATCCCTTTTAGGGAGTGATTTCTCTCTCCATCTCTCTGTCTCTCTGTTGAGTACATATACTCTATAGCAAAAATCTACTCCCCCCCCAAAAAATGATGGTGTTAATAAGCCATTTAAATTAACTAAATGAGAAGATTCCCTCAATGTAATGACATTTTTCTTTCTTTAGATGACCTTTTATTTATCCCTATGACTTATGTAATATCTTAAGAATTAGATAAAATCTCACACATTAGATATCTTACATCAAATGCAAAAGAAATTTAATTAATAAATATGTTAACTGACTACCCATCCACTCAACCAACCAATGACATCTGGTTAAATTTGTACCATATGTCACACACATTCTTAGGTAGAAATATCTTTCCAGGTGTGTGTCTTTCAGGTATGGTTTTTTTTTTTTTTTTTTTTTTTTACTCACTAAACCCCTTAATAATCAATCAATCTTACCTTTATTATGAAAATGTAAAATTCTTCTGTCTACTTATATAGCAAGTTTCCTCTAAGAATCCCACTGATGGAGGAGTTCCCTTGGTATTTTGAGCACAATTTGCTGCAATCTTAACCATTAATGCTTCATAGTTAAGATGTGCATTTTTATTAATAGTTTGATTGAAGCTTACCAACTTGGCCTATTAACCAACCAGAACACTTGGAGAATGTTGTGGTTAATTTAATTTCCTGGTTCACAATCTCTTTTTGTTTCAACTTCACAAAGAAAAACCTTTCTAAAATGTGTTAGTCTGCATTCTTGCCTAATTAAGTGGAGTGCATTGAACGTAATTAAATCTTTTTTTTTTGACAGTTCAGAACCTTGCAAAACAAAAGAATCATCTGTGAAAAGATTAGCGTCGACTCTAAGATATAGTGGTGGGTGGGGAGTGGGACTTGGATGTGTTCTGATATTGAGATAGATTGTCAAAATCATTGAAACACATTTAAAAATCAAGGTAATGTATGCACATGTTTAACATCAAGTAGACTAAAAGACTTTTTAAAAGAAAAACACTCTGCCTTCTACTTTTTCTCCTCATTCCCCATTTTGTTCCACAGAAACTCTAATTTTTAATTCTCTTAATCGTTTTTCTGGTTTACTGTTGTGTGTGTGTGTGTGTGTGTGTGTGTGTGTATATATATGTATATATTTAATAATATGTATCATGCAGCTATTTTTGTTTTTAACATATATGTTAAATCATGTATTGATCTTTAGGTTACTTGTTTTTAAAAAGTGTTTTCAAGTATATATGCATATTTTTATTATAAAAAGTATATATATCCCATTACATATAAATACAGGCTTATTAAAGAAAGTTTGTACTTTCCATGATGTATAGAAAAGGTATACAAAAGTATGGAAAGAGTAAAGAAATCTTGAAAACAGAAAAGTCTAAACATTTTCTAAATTTTTGATGTATGTTTGTTTGAAGTGTTTATAAATGTTTCTGTGCTGTAAAGTAGATTAAAACTATTTTGACATTCTTAATTATGTGTTAACAAAATATTAGTACATCTCACAAAAACAGTAGTAATTTCTTCTCACTGCGTATTCAAATTTCTCCAGTTGTCCTCAAATGGCCTTCGTAGCTGGTTGTCCAATCTAAGGCCATGTATTGGACCTTTAATTCTCTTTTCATTTATAACAACCTCTTTTTCTGTACTTCTGCTTCTCAATTTCACCATTTCAGATATTGTTTTATCATGGATGACGATTTAGTTCTTTTACACGATCTTTACTTCCTTTCTCCATCATTCAATGCTTTTACTTTGTTACAACCATATCTTTTTTACTGCTTACGTATTTTCCCACTGAAGAGTCAAGCTTATTACAGTTATATTTCCTTTTAGAACTTGCTTATTCTGGGGCTGGCAGGTGGCATGGTGGTTAAGAGCACTAGACTCCCATGTGGCCCATGGCTGACTGCATTTCGAGTCCTGGACCTGCAGGCTTTCTTTCTTACTCCCCCACCCCCTCCCCCCCCCCCGCCCCCACCCACCCACCCCTTACCTTGTCCTTCTCTGGTCAAGTTAAAATACATAAATAAAATAAAGTTCAATAAAATAATTATGCTAAAAAATTAAAAGATAGGGACCAATAGTCAGTGTAATGGCTGTGTTGCTGGACTCCCATGTAGCCGACCATGGTTAGAGTCCCAGACCCGGTGGCTTAAACTCACGCCGGGCACGTGTGCGTGCGTGCCCAAGATCCTGAGAGGAGAATGGAAGAGAAGGGATTGCAGCGTGACCATCCCCCCTGGGGGGTGATTTCTCGCTTTCTGTCTCTATGTCTCTCTCTCTGTCTGTCTGGCGAGCTCACGTGCCCTATAGCAAAAATTAAAAGATAAATATAAAGAATTTGCTTATTCTTTTCTTGAAATTTCTAATTGTTTTTCTTATCTTCTTGCTGTGTCTTATACTACAGTGGTCCTCCTTCCCTGTCCCTTCCCTTCCCAAAGATTTCGGAAGATTATGGAGGCTAAATGGGTTGATAACATTTGTAATAACATAAGAACTTTCTCAGTTAGGTACAATAGTCAAAAGTAAAATTATTTAGTGAGCTCATAAATGAAGCACTGATATAGAAAAACCACCTGCTACTGAAAGGAAACCATGCAGAAACCCAGAATCCTTTAGTGAGTTGTATGGAGCCATCAGCACATCCGTATTTATTTCCTTTACAGGCTAGCACATTATGTCTTCAACTTCTCTCGTTAGTAATATATACCATGGTCTGTGGCCCGCATATCGTATGACATGCTCACCTCTGGCGAAGCAGTGCCTTTAGCCCAAGAGTAGAGAGGAAGAAACTGCCCCATTTTTGGCAAGCATTGCACTGGTATCTAAGGGAATTATCTCTACATTTTACTGTACCAAGATTAGCTTAAAGAACTAAAGTGATGGCATGGTGGTGAAGGCGCTGAACTTCCACACAGCCGACTGCTATTGGAATCTAGGCCCTGGCAACTTGAAAATCATGCTGGGAATGTGTTTGCCTGTGCCCAAAATCTCAGGAGGAAAATGGAAGGGAAGGGACTGTGGCGAGGCCTCAGTTTTCCTCTCACTGTCTCTCTGTCTGTCTCCTATGACAAAAACCTTAAAAACAAAACAAAACCCAAAAAACCCTACGGGAACCAATATTAACTCATCTCTATATGATCATCTTATAACATGAAGCCTGGCATGTAGTCAGTGCTCAAAAATATGCCTGTGAATGAATCAACAACTTTCACTCCATTTCTTTCACATTCTCTGGCTCATTACACTCGCGACACACATCCTTTTTGGAGATCACTTAGTGATCTACAATTCTTCCTTAACCAACCTATAATCAATGTCTATTGCTTTTTACTTTCACACTAAGCAGTCTTCTAAAAGTCCCATTTTTTGAGTGGGCAATCCCGGACATTCTTTGAGAACACACTGTGCCTCCTAAACCCTTCCAATCTGATAACTCCGATGGCTGAATCTGAGATGCTTGCCAGTTACTGTCTTAGTCATCTCATCACACCTAGCTCATTTCCTCCCAGAAAGCCAGTAAAATCTGCAGCCTGGGAGTTGCAGGCAAAAATTCTATGGGGGATCCTTAGCATATGTTCTTGCTTGCCATTTGATTCTGATCAAAGTGGATCACGTTGAGTTTCCTAACGAAAATGAAAGCAAGAAAGGAGAAAGAAAGAAAGCAGGAAGGAAAGGAGGAAGGAAGAATTAGACAAACCTAAATGATTTTCTTAAATAAGTTATTCCTACTTTAAGTCTTCTAAAATGCAAAATGGTTAGCACACCGTGCTGCCTGGAGTGCGGCAGCCGCGGTCACGTCAGTCTGAGGGTGGCAGTGGTAACTGTGAGCTGTATGGTGGATGGAAGCCTGAGGAAAGGTGTGAATATAAACCCTACGGAGAAAGGAATGTAGTCCGGCCTTTCCCTGTATGTGATAATTCACAAAATTGCCAGAATCATCAGTCAGTGGGCATTTCCATGATTGTTCTCAGCCTAGTCAGATGCAATAAAATGGCATGATTTAAACC